ATACTAATTAAATAACCTTATTAATATATTAGAACTTATAATATATTAACCAACCTTAAGTGTTATTTCTCTCATTATAGTCTATCCAAATGCATGATGCCATACAACCCAAATGGACCATGCCGGGTCGGGTCAAGTCTTACCAATTATAGTTATGGACTTAGACATTAATCCAACAGTACCGCCTTCGCCTTCCCCATAGTGAATGATGATACCTGAAACCATAAATAACTGGGTAAGCATAAAGCTTAGTGACTTCCCCCAAAATACCCCATACGATAAACATACAAGCATGTAGAACTGCCGCTCTTCGACCTTCAGTCTATCCATACCGGAATACCAGGGTTTGTTGGCCTACCGCCTCAACCCAACCGCTCCTCTCGAGCCTCTGTGCCTTCGGCTTACAGCTGGCCCGCACAGGGTACGTTCGCCTACAGTACAAAGTAGGACCGCCTCAACCCACCACCACCACATGTCGACATGTAAAAAAACAAGGATCAAGCAAACACATAAAACACGCAAACAACAATCATACAACTCACTCCCGCCTAATAGTCCTCTCACAGCACATAGTCCCACTACCAGCTAACCTCCATGAAATGCGTAACCACAAGTAGGCAGAGGTGAGATAGCCACCCGAACAGATTATCCTACTATAGAGCCACAACAAAACAAGGAACAAGCAAGAGACCCTAGACCAAGAGTTCTCAGGCTATCCTACATAACTACAAACAGTCCCTTGGGCACACCACCAGATGATAACCAACAAGTACATATAACATACTGACCAAACAATGCAAAATAGCATAGCAACATCCTACATACCAGGATACCGATCTATCATATCACTGCATCCTAACAGCATACTCTATACCAGGATACTGATCTAGCAGATCACTACAGCATAACAACGTACTTGATACTAGGATACATATCTAGCAGATCACTATAGCATAACAACATACTCGATACCAAGATATAAATCTAATCGATCACTACATCATAACGACATACCCGATACCAGGATACAAATCTAAATTGATCACTACATCATAACAATATACTCGATACTAGGATACAGATATAGCAGATCAGTACAGCATAACAACGTACTCGATACTAGAATACAGATCTAGCAGATCATTACAACATAACAACGTACTCGATAGCAGGATACAAAATCTAACCCATCACTACAACATAATGACATACTCGATACCAGGATACATATCTAACCGATCACTACAGAATAACAGCATACTCGATACCAGGATACAGATCTAGCAGATCACTGCAACATAACAACGTACTCGATAACAGGATACATATCTAACCGATCACAACAACATAATGACATACTCGATACCAGGATATAGATCTAACCGATCACTACAACATAACAACATACTTGATACCAAGATACAAACTAGCAGATCACTACAGCATAACAACGTACTCGATACCAGGAGACAGATCTAACTGATCACTACAGCATAACGACATACTAAGTAGCAATAATCCAAGAAATGTATAACTGTATATAATCAGAGGTGAGATAAACACCCGGACAGGTGGTCCTACCTTAGAACCACAACTAAACCAAGAACAGGTAAGAGAGCCTAGATCATGAGTCCTCGGTCTATCCTACATGACTATATACAGTCCCTAAGGAATTTCTCTACTAACAGATAATCGAAAACTAGTGGGCTGACATTGGTTCCTTCGACCCACGGTACAATGAGGCAAAACTCACATGAAATGAAGCACGTCGAGAATACCGCATTTCGTTCCTGCTACACTTCTTGCTCCCGCGGATCCACTAACATCATAAACATATAAAATCTTAATCACCAATCCAAACCCTCAAGTTTTACCTAAATTCAAACTTGGTCAAAAGTCAATGGAGTCTACAAGAGTCAAAGTCCAAGGTCAAACTGGTTAAAAATCCATATGTCAACTGAGTCAACCCAGCCGAGTCAACCCAGCTGAGTCAACTCAGCCGAGTTGACATAGAAGACGTGTGCGGGGCGTACTCCAAATGTACGATGGGTGTACTCCATCGTTGACATCCATCGGGGGCCTTGACCACATACGCGCTACGTACTCAGATTACGCAGGGCGTACGCCCAGATCTTCCAAACTTCATTAAGTGCTTTCATCCAACTTTTAGATCCATGGCTAAAATACCCTCTAGAGTGATAAAGTTTTCAACTTTATGACTTTACATGTCCATCAAGAGCTTAACTCAACATCTTAATCCATTAAGACACTATAAATGATGCATGGAGCAAAACCAACCACTTAGATCACATTTTTATGACTTAAGACCCCTCCTAAGGTCTGAAAGGAGAACTTAATGGGTGAAGAACATGCTACGTTCATGAATCACCACATTTGGGACAAAATGAACGAAAAACCAACCCAACTCAAGATTTAAATGAAACTTAACCAAATGATGCCAAAAGGTGGTGAGATTCTGGATCTAAAGAGCTTCAGTCCTCCAAGATGGTCTCCACTCCTTTCCTTCTTCTTCAAAGGCACAAAACACCCACAGTCAAGCTTAGAAATGCTTCCCAAGATGGATTAGGGTTGAAAGAGCGTTCCAAGAGGATGGAGGCTGATAAGGTGAGGGGAATTGAGGCTATAATGGGGTTTAAATATGAGCCAAACCCTAAAAATTAGGCTTTGTATGACTGGAACGTACGTCATGTGTACAAATGTACGACCAACGTACTAGGGAGCGCCCTAGTAAGCTCAGCATACTCCCCCAAAACTAAAATTATGGAAATGTCATTAGGGCCCTTATTGCACTCTTTCTTATACTTAGGGTCCATCTTGCGATATAAATAAATCACAGGGCCAAAATTAAAAGTATCTCATGATCAGGATGTTATAGGATTCTAATTTGATTATCTACTAGCATAATCAAAATGTATGTTTTCTTTACGCTTTTTATTTATTCCAAAATACTAGGGCAATATTAGGGTTCTTGATATTCAAATTGATTATTGCATTTAATAGTGAAAACCTAGATCCTTAGGGTCTATGCAAACTTAGGGTTTTATTTTTCCGCCAAAAATATGATTTTTGTTATTTATAAAACCCATCACAAGTAACATATTATTTAATATGGTATGAATTAATAAGTCATGCACAACGTTTTGGACTAGTTGAATCCTTTTGTCTTTTACCTAAAGACAAAGTTTATATTTTATAAACTTAGTGTTTATAAAATTTGAACTATCTCTTTCTTTTTTTACTTCCTTAGGCCGAGAGCACCTAATAGGAGAAGAAGTGAGGCTTTTGATTTGTTTAATCGAAAGAAATGGGCATGGTGCATGTATGGGGGGACATGCTTGATTAAAGAACTAAATAGCTAAATACATTAAGGTAATGTTTCTACTTTACTACTAGTCTTAAGGCTTTCATTGTGAATCACTTAAGCCTTGCAATTGTTAAAAATTTGCTCCTCTTTCTCACTATCTTACCTTCTTGCAAAGTGTTGAAGAGTTTGAAGTTACTTGTATTTTCTTTTTAAGTCATATCTTTGTTTTGACTTAAAGCTTAAGAGTTGTAACTAGAATTACATCAAGTTGATCAATTGTTGGTGTCTTTTGGTTCCACATTCTTCGTCAAAACTCAAGCCTCCCAAGAGGACTCAAGGGACAGCAAAGGTTGTTATCAGTTTCCTTCTTCTATGGTTGTGTTTTTATCTTTTTATAACATGCAAGTAGATTCTTGGTGGCTTGTAAATGTTATTATATTCGGAATTTTTATGACTTTTGTTTCTATTATTATGAGTTTTTGGAAACTATTTTCAAACTTAAACTTAATAGAATTACGTTTTCTCTTGCGGAATAATTGAATCGAAGCAAAAATGATTCAATAAGAAGAAAACGTGAAAAAGATTCTTCAAACGATGTGTAGATTTCTGCTCTGATACCAATTGAAAGGATGTTTGAACAAAGTTTGAACCAATCGTAAGTAAATCAGAGTAAGTAAGAACACTGAGATCTAAATATGATCTTGAATTAGCTCTATTATCTGGAATTAGTACAAGTGAAGTTGCAATGAGAGAGAAAGCCTAGTGCGTGAAAGTGAAAATATTACAACCTACTTATGTACCTACACTATTTATAGGATACTCACATATACAAAAAATACTAGGGATTTCGACAGTGAATAGCGAACATCTAACTGTTCCTAGTAAATACATACATAACGAAGTCATGTAGACATTCTTTATTTACAGACATTTGTAATCAAGACAACTACCTAAGGTTTGACATATCACAATATAGATAGACTCTACAACAGGGCATAAAATCCCAATAAACCCCAAATAGAAACCATACTTGGACGAAGAACAGTGAAACACATGGCAAACATGAAATAAAATCACCCATCATCAAATGAACAATTCTCCGATATCTAGAAAACGTACGAATGTAGGTTTATTACTGGAAGGGGTCATTAATTTCGTGTATGAAGGTGAATTTAAGAATAATAGATGAGAGACGGAACAATAGATAGGTGTTAGTGTTCGTATGCAGCAGCAACAACAATCATTCGAGATTTGTTGTAGAGAAAGAAGCAGAGGAATTTTGATATTTTAGAAATTAGGAAAGTGAAAGGCATAGCACAAAAAACACATTGATGACCTTCTACACTGAACAGGAAACCGGAAGAGATGAGGGTCAACTATGTTTTGGAGGAGCTTCCCATTTTTTTCTCTATAAATAGTTGTTTGGAAGAGAGGAACGTTGACGCAGTGGTCGGTTTGAGACGTGTGTTGCTTAGAAACAGAAGAGGGACGAAAATTGACAAAGTCTGAATTTGTGGTGGCCAAAGTATGAAGCTCATAAAATGTAATGTTCTTAAGTGTGAGGGAAATTAAATATGTATACTAATGTTTTATATCGAGTTTTTCGTTAATCTATTTTAAGTTGATTTTCTAAAAAAAATATGACACAAGTTAAAAGATTACATAAAAAAACGAATAAATGAAAGGACACAACATTTATTTCATCATGATTTGAGTGAAACACAATAACAAGTTAATTAATATACAACCTTTAACCCATAAATTATCACATACATATGCCTCACGTTGACTTTCTAAAAACAGGAAATTGTTTCAATAATTTGCTAGAAATAACAAGATTGACATAGTTACATAATAACTTTTTAGCTAATAAACTTTACGAGGAACTATGTACGTATTCAGAGACACTCCACTTGTGTAGTTCATTACCAAAGATATCATAAAAAGCCAGCTGAATTTTTTCATTAGTTATCTCACCAGTCATGAATCCTTGGCCATCATAATAGAATTTCATTTCATTAGGATTCCACGGGTTGGTATTACCACGCCATGCCTTTGATCCGCCTCCACTTGTTAGAAATTGAAGCTTGCTACAGTAACAAATAATTATTTTTTCATTATACGTATTTACTTTCTAATCTATAAGAAGTAAATTTTCCAACGAAGTTGAGATGAGTAACATAGGAGTAATATGTCCAGATAGAGCCTAATTTTCCTAATTTTCATTGGAATAGAAACTCCACATGACGATAATGGAAACTCTAATACTTAAATATATGTACAAGTATATCATCACTGAACCAGTGCCATGTAACTAGTAGAAAATGCAAGTTATATTAAGATCACATGAAGATTACAAAGAAACAAAACAAGTTTACCTGTCTGGACTACTGATTTGTTGCAAACAATGATCATGCCCATTTATGTATAAATTCACCTCATTTTCCTGCAATTGGTAAATTCGAATAGATAATGTAAAAGGTTACTTTTAAATGCATGTGTATGTATGTACGTGTGCCTATAATATATATATATATATATATATATATATATATATATATATATATATATATATATATATATATATATATATATATATATAAACACTCACGGTTTTTGAGACCGATTAAAAAAACTTTCAGAAAATTAGAGTAAAATCACTAAATATTGGGAAACAATAAAACAAAAAGAATTGTAAACTTTAGGGGCATTTTTCAAACTTAAAACTTGTTGATTAGTATATCAGTTCCCTTCAAAAGGGATTTGTAAGGTTTTTTTTTTTTTGGTAATTTATATATTTATATAGGGTAATATATACCTTAAGAATTGGCAATAGCTTGTCGACAAGCTCTTGAGTGTTCCCATGGTCACCAGCACTAAACATTGTATGATGCCCGACCACTATTTTCCATTTGGCATTTGATTCTTTTAATGCTATGTCCACCTCCTGCATAGCCACCATATTTTTATCAAATCCAAAATTCTTGTACATGTTATGTCCTCTGTAATAAATAAATGTTTTTTTTTTTTTGCCACTTGTCACTCTGTAATAAATAAATGTTTTTTTTTGCCACTTGTCAAATTCTCAAGAGTTTTGTCACATATAATTTTGTTGTAGTTTAAAATTATTATTTTCCATTTGTCATTTTTTTGGGAATTTTCATTTTTTATAAATAAAATTCCACAAATCTCTAACCAGTTTTATAAGGAAAGAGAATAATTCTATTAATTTGATAATAAAGTTTCATAAATGCTCTAAAAATAATTGATTTCTTTTACAAATGTTCCAAATTATTACATTATTTTATAAAATATTTAATGTTTAAATATTGATATTAAATTTTTATTTATAATAAACTCGTGTATTACACGGGTTTCACACCTAGTATATATATAAAAGTTCAATTAAAAAATTAAAAAATATTGAGAATGAGGGAATTTTCTCTCACCCATTCATTTATGTTTGCCGCAAAGCCTCCATCTTACCGGCGGAAATGGGAAAGAAATACACGTGTGTTTTCCAACAAAAAATATTTCCTTAAACTATGATAATCATTACATTATTATATATATAAAAACATAGTTTTTTTCGTTTTTTTTTTAATTTTTAAGAAGCTATTTTTATCAAAAAATGATTTTAAATATATCAAAATTCATAATTTTTTATTCTCTATAAATAGACATCAATATTGATATAGTTTTAAGATAAAATAAAATTTATATTTTATTTATAGTTTCAGCTATCATTATTTATAAGTGAATAAAAATATATCAGATATTTATTACATTACATTCGTTATTCACTTATGAATAAAAAGTATGATTACTTTTTTTTACAGTTTAAATATTATTCATATATGAATATAACATATAATAATATATTTACAGTTTACATCAGCTCTCGTGACATGTTATATATTCACATATGAATAAAACGTATATTAGTTTTCCTCACATTATTATATTCATATACGAATAAGACATTTATCATAATTTGGTACAGTTCATTTGTTATCCATATATGAATAAATAGTTCAAATTTTCGAAACACTTCGTCTTTTATTAACATACTACTTAGTCATATATGAATAACAAACGAAATGTAACAAAAATTTGATAAATATTTTATTCATATATAAATATAACATATAACGACAACTAATACACGTTTTTTTAATATATAAATATAACATGTAACGAAAGATGATGTAAAAATTATATTTTAGGTAATAAAACTTTATTACGTGTTATATTCATATATAAACGATACTTAAACCGTAAAGAAGTTAAACATACGTTTTATTCATAATTGAATAACAAATATAGTATAATAAAAATCTGATATATTTTTATTCACTTATGAATAACGAAAGCTGAAACTCTAAAAAAAATATTTTACCTTAAAACTATATTAATATGGATGTCTATTTATAAAGAATAAAAAATTATGAATTTTGATATATTTAAAATATGTTTTCGATAAAAATAGATTTCTAAAAATCAAAAATACACAAAAAAATGTTTATATATATATATATATATATATATATATATATATATATATATATATATATATATATATATATATATATATATATATATATAGAAAGAATGATCACCTTTAAAAGATTTGCAATGTAATCTGCTCGAGGAAGAACACCTCTCCAATCGTAGGTATGTTTTGTTTCCGTAAAATATTTATCTTGGAATGGTGTTGTATCAACAAAAAAGAATTCCGTGTTTCCTGTATTGTTTTATAAGTACATAAGTTTAAATTATGAAAATAATCTTAAAAAAAAAAACGAAAAGTATACCTGCATGGAGCATAAATGATCTAAGACAGAGCCATTTGCTATCCCTCTGTGTGAGGACAGGACTCAATTGTGCCAAGGCGTTACCTCTGTAGTCGTGATTCCCTAATACTGTAAAATAAAACGGTTCAACAAAGAACCGGCCGGTAAGACCACCACTACCAGTTCCTCAGTTCCTTAGATACCAAAAATCGGCTGTATTTAAACCAGTGAAAACGCAATCGTGCCACTTAAAAGTAACTTGTTAGTCAAAAACCGATTAAAACTTCTACGGTTCAACACTTAAAAGCCAGTCCAACCCTTAAAAACCAAATTTTATAAATTACAAAATTTAGTATTTTTCTAAGTAGACAATTTGGATCCATTTTGATAACACACGGATTTACTATTAATTACTATATGTTTCTCAGTTTGAGTAACGCAATCGTGTCAATCACAATAGAAGGGATCCCATTAAATTAACAAGTGTATTTTTCAAGTCACTATGTGTTTACAAAACTTCAATTTTAAAACTATGTCATTTTTTTTACAATTTCATCATTAAGTCTTTTAATTTTATAATTTTGACAATTTGATTAGTCAAACAAGTTATCCAGTGATGTAGCATGTTATTATTTGGGGATCATATGTGACATTAATATAACAAATTTGGAAGAAAAAAAATAACACAAAATATATTAAATTTTTACATTTTTTTTTTAAATTTTAACAATAAGTTTTCATATTTTTACAAGTTTGATACGTTTGTTTTTTTTTTCAAATTGGTGTTCAACATTGATCATTTTCTATTTAAAACTGTATATTTCTTACATTTAAGAACCACATTTGTTATATAAATATATTTTTTTGTACGTATAGCGTAATGTTATACGAAATTTATTTATTTATATTTTAACCATATTTTTTTTAAATACATTTTTTTGTACATATAGCCTAATATTATACCGAATTTTTTTCTTTATATTTTAACCATATTTTTTTTTTAAATACGTAACATATATATATATATATATATATATATATATATATATATATATATATATATATATATAATATATATATATATATATATATATCTATATATATTTATTGGGACCGATTAGACCAGTTGAACTATCGAACTGGTAAGACTACGGGTGGCAAATCATGAAGTCGTTCTTTGCTTTTGACTAGTACGATACGTCAAAAAATTATTTATTAAACCCGAACAAACATGACAAGATACCATTTTTTCGTTAACAGAAACGTGACTCAATAAAAACACGATAACACAAAAAAGTAACAAAAATAATCATTTACATAATTAATGGCATGCGTAAATTCTTGTAAAAAAGTTAATTTAAACACGAAAAACACGAATAACACAACTAAAAATAACTTAAAACAAACATAGAATGCTACAAAATATACATGACTTTTGAACATGAACACGAAAACGAACACGACATTTTGTGCTATTATCATTCCAAAATATTAACATAACTCGACACGACAATATGTTTCTTATACAAGACATGAACACAAATTCGAAATTCGATTTCGTCGCAATTTCATTTCATATCGTGTATTTTTGGTTTAATTCATAATATACTTTCTTAGAAAAAAATCTTTAATAACTTCTCAGATGTCCATAGATTATTTTCTAACCGTGAAATTTAAAAAACAAAATAAAACTAACGAGACGCTAGAAGAGATATCCATAAATGTGAGACATAATTTATAATAACAACCTAGTTTTATGAAGGAGTTAAATAGCTAATAATTAATAAATGGAGAATTCCAAAGTAGATTAAAAGATATAATAATTAATACTTGGGTATATATGAGTTTACCTGAGTACCATTGTTTTTGTAAGCTTGGTGCAGTATACACATTTGAAAAAGATTCAAAAAATGCTGGATCATCCACGTCAATTAATCCACTGTCGTAAAAATTATCACCGGTGGAAATAATGAAGTCCACGTCCGTTTTCTCTCCGACTTTCCCCATCTGAAACAATTTTTAGAATATAGAATATTAGAAGACTCGTGAACAAACCGAACAATGAAAAAGCAATTATGTTCAAATTAATATTTCTTTTTTAATCGCCTTCAATAATAGCATGACATGTGTTGTTATCCATATTACACCCTGGTAGGACCAAAAAGATTTGGAATGTTGTTAGATTGATTTTTTTTTTTGTTAAATTATATAGATAATACAAACTCTCAGCTCATGGTCGTATTATTTTAAATTATCACATATTATACCAATTCATACAAGTACTGTGAAAATACTCAAGAAAAAAATAAATGTCATAATGAATTATATATAATCATTAGTCCTTACTCCTTAGTGATTCTATTGAACCGGATTGAAGTGATGCAATCCATGATTAATTTGTAGCAAAATTGAAGTGTAAGGAAAATCCCGATTAAAACTTTAGCAAAAAAAAATCTATGAATTATACAAAACTTTAATTTTTAGATTCATTTCGGACCTAAAGGCATTATATTATTCATTCTCAAGAGAAATAGAGCAAGATAAATGTAATTTAGGTTACAGAAATGAGATATATAAATAATATTATTCCAAAAACTAAATTTTGTAAATACTTGTGTGTTTACCGGACCTTTACTAGCTTATTTTCAGGCTCATCAATGTAAACCAAGCTACCGAAATACATATCCCCCATTTTGGTTTTGGGGCAATTGAGTCGGAAATTAACGTTTTCAGTGATCATAAAATCATAACAAACAATTTTAAAAAATAACAGTAATTTAAACCTCAATAATTAATTTCGGCACAACCAATGGGTATTCTATTTCTATAGAGATCTCATATAGCAAATCAATCCTCGAAAACAGAACTGTTATTACATAAAAATAATATTAATTAATATTAATTGATATATTCAATCGGTTTTGTCTTTTCCATGATCGTTTACGTTGACGTTTAGATATTTCAAGTGCAATTCACTACTTTTTGGGAGACAAAAATAACGAGTGTAATATAATTTCGAACGCATGATAAAATGCAAGTTGAATTACGTAGTGCCTCCATTAAAGTAAACTATTGAAGTTGATTAAGAAGCTAGTATGTAGCTGGGGAGACAGTTAATTGGGATATATGAATTAGTAATAAACTAATTAACCTGGTAAGCAACATTGGATTGATTGTAGAGTCCTCTCCTACCCCAATCACCGACGACCAAAAAACTGAGAGATCCGTCGGATTTGACCGCATGATCAAACCTTTGAAGCTCGGCCACAATCACACCCACCATCGCCGCTGTCATATATAGCATTAGAAGAGCGGCGGGGGAGTACTTGATCATGGCCATCACCTAGTTGTAGGTACCAATGGTCCAGAGAGATCGAGAGACGTGTGAGTAAGGATGAAAGATGAGGGGGTATATATACTACATAGATGATAGATATATACATATTTTGCTGAAGAATGCACCTTATCCAGTAAAAAACGACAGATATGATTTAGAATAAGAAATAGTACGTTACTTCCTTTTTAATTATTTCCAACATCTAAGAGATTATTGTAATCACCATTTTTACTGAAAAACCTAACTGGAAGCGGATGGTACTGAACAGGTTATCGGTTCTTAGTTTCCCTTAATTTTGGTTATCGGCTGTATTGGGTTCGGGAGTATTGGGTAGTGGATAAAGGTTCCAAAGAACCTGAGCCGGAAGTTCAATGGCCATTTTTTCCGGTTTAATGTTAAGTTTTAACGATTTCTTCAAAAACCGGTTTGAACCGGTGTCATAGAACCGGTTTATTCAGGGACGGAACACAACCATTACAACTTGGGGGCCGGAACCAAAATTCTAAACAAAACTATATGAACACAATTAAAATGGTTCAGAGTTATAATACATCAAACAATCTAAACAAGACAACTTTTAAGACATATTCTTTCATTGTTAATCAAAATGGCAATCGTTTTATGTTTTATTATGTAACCGTGTTTTAAAACAAAACCATATAAATACATGAATATGAATTTTGTATTTTTGACATGATATCTCTTGTATAACTTAAAATAAACTTATATTATTTGTGTGTATATGGAAATGTTTGTTTTTAATGAAATCATTTCATTTTTTACTAATCAGATTATTTGTATGTGAATTCATGAAGATATTAAATTTCTCTTCTTGAAATAGAGTTGATTGTACATGAAAAAAAAAGGAGTAAATATATAATTTATATATTTAAATCTTCAAATAAAATAATATAAGAAAATAATTCGTTTCAATACCCATATTATATGATGCACCAATATAAACTACATAATTAATTTTATTTATTTTATATTCTTTTTGTGTTAATCTAAGACCTCCTTTATAATTGATAAATTATTATCTAAAAGTAATGACAATGTCATGACATATGAGTGAAATAAGTTCCGTAGTATAACTTTTAATAACATTTTAAAGTATTTGAGAATTATTGTGGTTGAGGAGAATTACATTAGATGATAAAGAGTTTTATACATCAATAATTATTTACTCCATATATATATCAAACATAGAAGGGTAAAAAGCTGGGGGCCATGGCCTCCCACAGCCCCTGTTGTGATCCGCCATTGGGTTTATTAGACTTGGATAATTGGATTTCTCTTATTCCATTAAAGAGACAGTTCATTTCCAGAGAAAATGGAATTCATTTCTAGAGCAAATGGAATAACTCGATCAATCAGGTTATCCGAAGTGTAAACAACTCGAAGATCGAGACACATAATTGTTAGATGTACACTGACGGTTTTTTTTTTTCGGAAAGATAAATTTATATAGAACTGAACCTCCGAGATGCAAGAAGCTAAAACCAAGGGCCAAAACACAGTACATGGAGACAATTATATTGAGGAGAATGGAGAAATATTCCACTCTTTCGAGTTACAAATATCACTATTGTCTCTACATTTAATCCAAACATACACCAATCATTTAATGTTTTCCACTGCCCTTGTAATGGTGCACGACCTCGCCTGAAATAGTCTCTCATTCCTGATTTTTCATAGAATCTAGAGTAGCCCATAACATATAGCAACAAATCTATTTCGTTTTTTTGGACATCTTCCCCAAGTAGCTACAAACGCAGTGATATCTCCCACATTTTGTGCATCGAACTTCTCAATATTACACCATTTTAAGATCTTGGACCTCACCAATGTGGCAAAAGGACAATAGACAAGTATGTGATTAACACATTCTAAACTGTTAATACATGATCCACAGGAAGTAGTATCGATATTGACACCCCTGTTCACCAAAGCCAAAGTGGATGGGATTCGACCTCGGGTTGCTCTCCAGATGAACATTGTAACTTTGATAGGAATCAATTTACTCCAAATTACTTTCAATTGTAAAAGATCAGGTAGAGGATTTTTGTCGATTTTTCTCCTTAGCAGGCAGACTTTGTATCTTCCATCAGCAGCTAACGAACACATGACTTGGTCTGATCCTTCACCGATGTGCGTATTTGAAATCACATTAGTTAGTCTTGTCACCTCCTCCGATAAACCATATTCTATAGGACAAGACTTCCAACCGCACATAGCTTCTTCACGATGTACTCTCGCACCTACCAAACATCGTTTTTGTGTTTCAAGGTTGTACAATTCCAGAAAATTTGTCTTCAGTTTGCCCACATCAGACCAAAGGTCATGCCAGAATTGAGTTTTGTCCCCAGACTTTACAATTTGTTTGAACATGTTGTAGAATCCAAAACCCATATCCTCAATATCTTTTTTTGTTGCTGCCACATTTTTCCACACACCGGTAACCGATTTTTTGGCGAGATAGTCAATAGGTTTATTACTTAAGTTATGTATTCTAGAAATAGCCCTGGCCCAAATTGATGTTTCCTCTGTCTTGAGTCGCCACCACCATTTAACAAGAAGGGCAATGTTCAAGGCTTTGATAGATCCCACACCAAAACCACCATCCTGTTTTGATGCTATAACTTTCTCCCATGCAACCATGTGGATCTTTCTCACATCATTAATGCCACCCAATAAAAATTTCCTACGCATCTTCTCAAGAGTGTCAATTACCCCGTTGGGGGATTTGAATAATAACAGATAGTATGTAGGTAAGTTGCCCAACACCGACTTTATTAAGGTGAGACGACATCCAAATGAAAGTGTCTTTGATTTCCATTGTGATAGCTTTGCATGGAACTTGTTGATGATGGGTTTCCAATTCTTAATCAGATTCATATTGGCGCCCACAGGTATGCCCAAGTGAGTAAACGGTAGAGAACCCGCTTCACAACCATGTAAACGGGCCCATCGAGTAGTTTCAAAACTCGAGACAGCAACACCAAAGACCATTGATTTGTGAAAATTTACTTTGAGACCCGACGACACATGGAAGCATTTCAGGATACGGGCAAGGTTCTTTAATTTTGATTTACACCATTCGCCCACAAACAATGCATCATCCACGTAGAACATGTGAGAAATTATCGGACCATTATTTGGAAGTTGTACACCTTTAAAAATACCTTTATCGCCAACCGTCTTCATCGCAACATTTAAACCTTCCATTGTGATTATAAATAAGAAGGGTGAGAGTAGGTCTCCCTGTTGTACACCTTTGGTGATGCAAAACTCTTTTGTGGGGGTTCCGTTGATTAGGACTGAAGCACGCGATGACGACAAACATCCTCTAATCCATAATCTCCACTTGTTTCCAAAGCCCATCTGTGCTAGAATGGAGTCCAAATACTCCCAGTTCACCGAATCAAAGGCTTTATCAAAGTCTACTTTGAAAAGGAGTAACTTCTTTTTATGCTTTTTGCCCAACCACACATCTCGTTTATGATCAGCGGCCTGTCTTGTATGTTCCGACCTTCGACATAAGCGGATTGTGTTTCACCAATAATGTTGCTAATTACCGATTTGATTCTAGTCGCGAGCACCTTGAAACCTAAGCCCCCAGTCTGATAGCTTCCATCATTGAAATGGATTCGAACAGGGGGTTTATCAATTTTGGACTTGAAACCCAAGTCTCGTTAAACTTTTTTTGGGAAGAAACAGTATGCCTCATATTTTATTTCATTCACCTTAGTTGCCCACCTTCCATTTACCATAAGGCCCGAAATCCTGTTTTTTCGTTTGTTTGGGTTTATGTATCCGTGGAAGAATTTGGTGTTCTCATCCCCATCAATCGTCCATTTTTCTCGTGCTTTTTGTTTGAGGTCCAACACAACTATCTTCTCAAGCTCAAGTATTCTATTGATCCCATTACTTATGGTTTGTAGTTCCACCTCAGTATATGAACGATAGTTCTAACACCCCGATTTCCAGGAATGAGATTTTAGGGATTTTATGACTTAATAAAGCCTACTCAACTAGATGGGAGTCCTCAACTCGTCGTGTAGAAACTCATATGGCCACGTGGATTATGAAGCCTACTTGACAAGTTGGAGGACCCAACTCGACGAGTTGAGGCTGTGCATGAAAACCTTAATTTTTAGGGTTTGCAGCATATGTAGAGGACCTTAAGTCCTCTATCCATCCTCCCTTAACAACCTATCATCCAGAAGAAAACCCTAAATGAGCTAACCTTCCATTTTGAGTGTGTACAAGGCTAAAGAGTGTGTTTTTGGTGCATTTCTTGGAGAAACTTGAAAGTTACGAGCTTGGAACGAGAAGGAGCTTATAGATCCGACATCTACTCAGTTGTAGAAACCTTATGAAGGTGTTTGAGTTTGGAGTTGTGTTTGGGAGTTTGACATTATCATCCAGTGCTACTTGTGAGGTGAGTTCTTCTCACTATATCAACAGGGTCTAAGGCACCAAGGCTGACCCTTTTTGGATTGTTATCCTGGTTATTGCATGATGATATGTTAGTGATCCGTTAGATATGTATCTTGGTTATAGGATGATGCTATGTCAGTGATCTGTTAGATCTGTATCCTGGTTAAAGGATGATGCTATGTTAGTGATCTGTTAGATCGGTATCCTGGTATATGGGATGATGTTATGATTAGTAATATGTTAGATCTGTATGAATATATGTACATGCTAGCTAGCGTATGATATTTATGTTTTGATTGTGTGATTGGGGGTTAGTTTGAGGCGGTCCTGCTTTGTGCTCTAGGCCAACACACCCAGGGCGGCCCGGATAGACTGCAGACCCAGTAGGGCGTACTAGTCAGGCCGAAGGCCCGGAGAACGGTCCAGATAGGCTAAAGGCCCAGAAGGGCAGACCAAACGTGCTGAAGGTTCTGAGAGTGGGCCAGATAGACTGAAGTTCCGGTGAGGGCGGTCCAGTCATACTGAAGACTCTAAGAGTGGACTAGGTAGACTGAAGGCCCGATGAGGGCGGACCATTCGTACTGTAGACTCTATATATGGATGTTGTTTGTATGATATTGT